ATTTATTGAATTATGTATGTTGAACCATCCTTGCATCCCTGGAATAAATCCGACTTGGTAAGGATGTATGATCTTCTTGATGATCCTCTGTATTCTGTTTGCTAGTATCTTATTAAGGATTTTTGCATCTATATTCATTAAGGAGATTGGCCTGTAGTTCTCTTTTTTAGTTGCATCTTTCCCTGGTTTGGGAATCAAAGTGATACTTGCTTCCAGGAATGAATTTGGAAATATAGCTTCCCTTTTGATTTCATTGAAAAGTTTGAAGAGTAAAGGCAGTAGTTCTTCTCTAAATGTCTTGTAAAATTCAGCAGTGAATCCATCAGGGACTGGGCTTTTGTTTGTTGGTAAATTTTTAATTACATTTTCAATTTCACTGACTCTAATTGCAGTGTTTAAAATGTTTCTATCTTCTTTGTTCAACTTTGGTAATTCATAAGTATCTAGAAATCTGCCCATTTCTTCTGTGTTTTCCAATTTATTAGAGTACAGGTTCTCAAAGTAATTATTAATTACTGTTAATTAATAATTTCTGATCCAGCAGATTTCTGTTGGATCTGCTGTGACTTCGCCTTTTTTCATTCCTGACTGCATGGATGTGAGCCTTTTCTTTCCTTTTTTGATAAGATTAGCTAAGGGTTTTTTTATTTTATTTATTCTTTCAAAAAACCAACTTTTTGTTTCATTAATTTTTCGTATTGTTTTCTTAGTTTCTATTGCATTGATTTCTGCTCTCATCTTTATAATTTCCTCTCTTGTTTGAGCTTTGTGTTTTTCTTTCTCTTGTTTTTCTAGGAGTCTAAGATTCATCATTAGTTTGTTTATTTGAGCTCAGTTTTCCTAGTGTGGGCATTCAGTGCCATGAATTTTCCCCATAGAACTGCTTTCATTGTGTCCCATAGATTCCTTTATGTTGTATTGTCATTTTCATTTATTTGTAAAAACTGTATAATTTCTTCATTTCCTCTGTGATCCACTGATTGTTCAGGCGAGTGTTGTTCAGTTTCCATGTGTTTGTCAAGTTCCTACAGTTTCTTGAGCTGTTGATCTCTAGCTTGATTGCACTATGATCTGATAATATACAGGGGATAACTTCAGTTCTTTTGCATTTATTCAGACCTGTTCTGTGAGCTAGTATGTGGTCTATCTTGGAGAATGACCCATGTGCAGCTGAAAAGAATGTATATTCTGATTTTCTGGGGTGGAATACTCTATAGACTTCTATTAAGTCCACGTCTTCCAAAACTTGGTTCAGTTCTAGTATTTCATTGTTGATTTTCTGCCTAGATGATCTATTTGTGATAGTGGGGTGTTTAAATCCTCCACTACAGTTGTATTAGTGCTTATTTGGTTTTTCATGTTACTTAGTATTTGTTTTATATAGTTGGGGGCATTAACATTTGGTGCATATGTTTATGATTGTCATCTCTTCCTCTTGAATTTTTCCCTTTACAAGAATGTAGTGGCCTTGTCTCTCTTAATGAGTTTTGGTTTGAAATTTACTTTGTCTGAGAATAAGATTGCTACCCCCTGCTTTTTTCTGGGCTCCTGTAGTATGGAGAATTGTTCTCCATCCTTTTGCTTTCAGTCTATGGGCTTCTTTTTGCGCTAGGTGTGTTTCTTGTATACAACATATTGTTGAATCTTGCTTCTTAATCCATTCTGCCAATCTATTTCTCTTGATTGGAGAATTGAAGCCATTGACATTGATGGTTATAACTGATATGTTCTGACTTATTATTGTCATGTTATTGTCCTTTGGTTGACTCTTTTTAATTTTTCCTCCCTTGCCTTTTAGTTTTTTGCCTTGCCTGTTTGATTTAGTCTGTTGGCCCTCATGTTGTGACCTTCATTCTTTTCTAGGATATTGTTTAGAATTCCTTGTAGTGTTGGTTTTGTGTTCATGAAGTTTCTCAGGTTCTTTTTCATGGAAATATCTCATTTCCCCATCCAATTTGAAAGAGAGTTTTGCAGGATACATCAGTCTACGTTGGAGGTTGTTTTCTTTTAGGACTTGAAATATCTCACTCCAGGCTCTCCTTGACCTAAGCGTTTGTGTTGAAAAGTCTTCTGTGATTCTGATAGGCTTTCCTTTGCATGTGATTTGCTTTTTTTCTCTTATTGCTTGTTCTTCTGTTGGATTTCTGGGATTTTGATTATTATATGTCTAGGTGTAGATTTTTTTTTTTTAATTGTGGCTAGTTGGAGTTCTTTATGCCTTATTTATCTGTATAATTCTTCCCTTCTGGTTGGAAAGTTTTCTGTCATTAATTCTGTGAACAGCTTTTTTTAAGTCATTTGTATTTTCTCTTGCTACTTCATGGATTCCTGTTAGTCTTATGTTATTCTTCTTTGCATCATCTAGAAGTTGTTGGATCGATTTCTCATGATCCCTTACTGTTTTTAAGAGACCTCTCTTTTCATAGTCACTGACTGCAATCCTATCTTCCACATGTGAAATTCTGTCTTTGCAATCTTTCTGTTGCATACACTTTCAATAGTTTTTAAATCTCCTGGATATGTTTGAATGTTTTATGGATTCCATTTCTGAAACTTAAAATTTAAAAAAAATAATTTTACTGGTACATTTTAGGTATACAATATGACATCTTTGGAAATTTGGACCTTTACATAATATCTTGGTTCTTATTTTTCCCCCATTCCCCTTCCCTCTCTTCAACCCCTTCACTTCTCCCTACTTACAAAGACTTTCATTTTTTCCCTTTTACTCATTAATTCCATTCCCTTCTTTCCTTTCCCCAGCCTCTCCCACTTCCCCTTCGGACCTTTTCTATTTCACATTATCTATTATGCCTTTGGATCCTTATTTACACGTTGTTTCTCACACCAGAACTTTAATTGTTCTTATTTTTCAGTGTTCTAGTTCTTACAACTTCTAGTCTTTTATAAACATCAGTCTTTTCAGAGACTGAAGAGGGTATCAGAAAATGGAAAGACATTCCTTGCTCATAGGTAGGAAGAATCAACATAGTTGGTGGGAGTGCAGACTGGTGTAACCACTGTGGAAATCAGTAAGGAGATACCTCAAAGAACTAGGATTGGAAGTCCCATTTGACCCAGCTATCACTCTGCTGGGTATCTTCCCCAAAGAATGAAAAAAATCATACCACAGTGATATATGTGCACCGATGTTCATAGCAGCACAATTCATGATAGCTAAAACTTGGAAGCAGACCATGCTCATCAACAGGAGATTGGATAAATACAATTTTTTTTAAAAAAATAAAATGGAGTACTACTCAGTCATGAGAAACTATAGACACTTATAGCTAAATGGATGTACATTGAAGTGATACTCCTAAGTGAAATAAATAGGACACATGTATAAATACTGAATAGTTTTAGTGTGAGAAACAAAGTGTAAATAAGAAAAGGTACAAAAGATATTTTGAAATAGGAAGAAAGGTGCAAAGCAGAAGGGGAAATGGGAGGGGTAGGGAAAAAGAAAGATGGGGATGGAATTAACGTTAAGAAAAAGAAAAAATGGAAACAAAGTCTTTGTAGATAAGGGAGTGCTGGAGGGGTTGAAGAGAGGGCAGGGGAATGAGGAAAAAATAAGGACCAAGATGGATTATGTAAAGGTGCAAATTTCCAATGATGTCACTACATTGTATACCTTATTTATACCAATAAAAATTTTTTTAAAACTTCAGTCTTTTCAGTCATTTTAAGTGTTCATAGTATGGTTGTCTGTCACTGTTCTATTATCCCAGTTTTCTATTTATTATGTCCATTGTCATACTTCCATATTTTCCTTATTGGCATATAATTTTTAGAGCTCATTTCAGTTAGGACTGGCTGTTCTATGGCTGTCTGATGTACTTCTGTTGTGGAACTATTGCTAAGAGTGCTTTGGTTTGGCCACCCTCTGCATTTTACCAGGTCAGAACTAATTCAGTTTTGAGCTTGGAAAATTCCATACCATCCAGGCTATAAGAAAGCCATAATGGCAAAAAGCATAAGCCTTTAATTTTTTGCAGAGTTTTTTCTCCTGACCATAACCTGGGTAAAGAAGCTTCCTTACACCTTCTCCAAGTTTTCAGGCATGAATAAGAGGTACTATTACTCCACTACCATTGAATGAGCTTACCAGTATCACCTTTATCCACTATATTAGCTCCAGCCTCCTGGTCTTTCCAGGACCAAGGCCATATTCCTAAGGTCTAGTTTCTACTATCCCCTCCCAGCTTTCAGGCTTCCTGATCAAGCTTTATGCTCCTCTTGGTTTCTAACTCATCTATGTATTTAAATCTCTTATTTGGCATTTGTGGAGAGGGTCCATTAACTTAGTATGCTATTTTTTTAAAACACTTTATAAAGACTTTCTTTTACATTGCTAACAACCATATGAAACTAAAGGCTACTTCCAGTAAGTGGCAGAACCACTTTGAATTCAAATTCAGATTTGCCTGACCCCAAAGTCTTACCATTTGATTAAATAGTACTTACTAAAAAAACAAAGTAAAGAGTTTTTAACTTGGCACTAATTAGTGATAACTAAGAGTTCTACCTTAACTACATTTTGCCAGTAGTTTTTAAAGGCATGTATTATTTTAATTAATATGTGCTTCTCAATACCAGCAAGGCTCAACATTTATTCAATGTCATTTCTACTTTGTGCTGTTACCCTTCCCTGAGTAGACTCTATAGGAGGCAAGCCACCTTGACACCTAAGATGGAGCACAGATCACAGATAAATGAAAACTACCACAAATCAGGGCCCATTTGGAAAATAAATAGCTATTTATTATCTAGGATCAATAAAGGAACATGCACATTTACTAAAATATTTCTTTATTTCAGTAAGATTAATGTCATTTTTTTAAATTCCAGCCAGCATCAAATGACAATCAGAAAAAAACCTGACAAAATATCATCCAATTGAAATTGACAATGGATAGAAAACTTTTTAAAATTTTAGGTAATATCAGAAAAGAGATACATTAAACAGGCAACATACAGATCCATAAAGTTGTAAAAGTTGATTTTTCACTAGATTACTAGATCTTATAAATAAAAATGCCCAATGTAATAATTTGTTCACTATCTCCTTTCAGGAAAGACATGAAAAGGAAAAGATAATCACATCTTAATATTCACAATGGTTACCTATGTTCTTTACAAAGATTGTATCTTTGCAAAGCAGCAATTCTTTATTCAAGTAATTTCTGTTTTCCCCAAGTTATCAAAAAGTACACTTGTCTGAGATAAATATCACCAAAATCACAATCAGGAAAGCAAAACGCATTAGCAGGCAGGCTTCTTGATGGATGGGAGTTCTCATGGCCTGACTACGTGAAGATGATTCTGTTAGGTTTAAAGGCTAACAAAAGTTCCAAGAGCTATGAGCAACAACCTGGATTTAGTTAGTAGCTGCAAAGGAATCAAGAGTTCTAGTAAAAGGAACACTAAATAAATTGTGAGTATAAAAGAATCAGTACACATTTGCCAATTTCACTGACTAAAAATATAGTATGTTCTCAGTCAGCTTTACACCAACAAAATTTGTTTGTCTTGTTTTTCCTTTTGATTCCCCCACCTTGGTGGTTCTCAACCATTAGTGTGCTCTGATCATTGGAGCTGCCTGTTGAACACTGATATTCTGAAGCCTCACCAATTTTAATGCAAGTGGCTCTGAATGGGGCCCTAGAATCTGTATTTTAAACAAACATTCCATGACCCAGACAGTCCACAGATCATACTCTGAGAAATACTGATATGTCTTTAATATATAAAAAAAACATTAGTTATTCTTTGTGAGATCACAGTAAAGTTTCAAGCTGGATAAAATATTCAAATAATTACAATACAAATAGGTACATTAAATAAGAGCATTAGCCATTATGTAATTGCATTTTCTTTTTTAAAGTGGCATTATAAACACAATGACATATTAAAAATTTAAATAAATTTTGTTTTAATCCAAGGCACCTGTAAAATACTTGCTGGTGTGAGAGAAGTGACTAAATGCAATTATACAAAGCAGTACAGAAATGAAAGAATTTTCTGGCAGTGACTGATTTTTCCACAGAGCAAATATTTTTTGTTCTGAAACAAGCTACTCAGTTGATGATTTTGAGGAAAACAAGCACACCTCAAATAAGATAAACATTCTGAATAAATTATTTTACTTAGTGATTTTCAAACAAGTTAAATTCATTAGTTACAAAAAAAAAAGGAAAAAGATTCATGCTCATGATCTTTCATAATAGCCATCTCCACTTGTCTTAGGAATAATCACAATGATTTCCCTTGAATTTTAGCCTGAAAAATATATACTGTATAGATCTGGTATTCCTTTAACGTTCAGCTAAATGTGACCATGGACTTTATAATACTGGATTTGGCAGCCTTTTATCTCAAGAGGATTTTCCAAGTTTCATAGTCTAAAAATTAAACATTCTTCTGAAGGTATTAATGTTTTTCATGGAATATGAGTAAATTCTGTGGTGATGACGTCTCTGAAACATGAATTTCAAAGTGTTAACACTACAAAGGAAAAGTATGAATGGAGCATTTTTATGTGTTGAAGTGACTGAAGTAAAGTGACTCATTAGTATGTTCCATTTCAGAATTCTAGGATTAAAGCTAACATAAAAAGCAACACGAGACTGGACATACAATTTTAGCTAGGTACTGCTATAATGCAGTTATTCGTTATGTTTTTATAGAGATTTTAGGTCGCTAGCCCAATTTGTAAATGACATTTGAGAGCAACATTAGGAATGCTCGGAAGAACTCAACAGTACTATTTTTTAAAACAGTATTATTTTGGATCATATGACAAATGAAAAGTCAAGCCAGGAAAAAAGTTGACATGAGCTGTGGGAATAAAGATTAAATTTGTATTTTAAAAAGTCATTGGGCCAGGGATTTAGCTCAGCAGTTTGGTGGCCTGCCTTGCAAGCGCAAAGACCCGAGTTCAATCCCTGGTACCAAAAAAAAAAAAAAAAAAGTCATTTACAGATGGTTTCTCTCATAGTATAATTATGTACAAAGACTATAAAATTTCCTTCCCACTCTTAACATTCCATGGTTAAGTGTACTAACAAGTGCTTCACAGCATTCTTAGTTCCAGCATTAAAAGGAAGAAACCAGAAGTATATACTCTTATTTTCAAATTTTCCTTTCAACCCTTAAAAAACTACCATTTAAAGAACCTCCTTGATTTAAAGGAATACACAATTAGTTAAAAACCCTGGGTTACACAGAACAATATAAGTCGTAATGCAATGGGTAGGTTTTGTGAATTTAAAATATCTTCAGGATGTACACTCTGAGCTGAATTACAGGTTGGATAAAATGGGAGAGATGAAGTCCTTAAATTAAAAATATTAATATAAAATTATTTTTATAATGTTAGCTGATACCAAATTGTAATGAAGATAATCAAAATTATGGGCTTTCATGAAATAATATATTCTCAAGCAAACTACCTGATTTTTTAGGCAAAAAGCAGCTCATTAAACATTCTGAAGCCTATTATCTACATCCTAAAGCTCTCAGACAAAATATTCTGTGATCGTAGAGGAAGCTGTGTTAAGAGTAAAGGACTGTAGGGCTGATCTTGAGTTACCCCTAAAAGACTTCGGTAACAAAATACTATGACAGGGAGCTCGTAATTTGACCTCATATACTGGGAAGCAGGAAGGCAAATGTGCTTATGCTAAATAAAGAAACCTCCAATATTGGAGACTTAGGGTAACGCTCATATCCAGGGGATGTCCCTTGTTTTCTATTATTTAAGCTCTTACTTGTCAATATTCTGTTTGGTGGTTATAATTTATAGACTAGAATTCACTGAAATTTAAATAGGTTTATGTGCTATCAACAAATTTACATGTGGTTTTCTTTGTTTTAATGTTTATTCTTACTGAAAATCAATATTTCAACAGTTTTTATACAAAACTTAATAATTTAGACAATGAAGCAATTTAAATACTCAAATTCCTTCAAAAAGACATTTTGTACATACATACATGATGGACACATATGAAAATGGAGGTCAAAAGAATTTTTTGGCAGCTGCTTCTTGTTGAGTTCTAAAAAAAGAAAAAAATTGAAAGAAGTTCTATATACTTGGCTTTGTAAAGAAATAGGATTATCATTAAAATATTTTATGTGTAAAATATATTAAGGCAAACATATATTCTACACATGAACTACCAATATAAAATGAAAGAGACTATAATTTCATAAGTATTAAAAGTTCTACTGTGATCTTATATTACTTCATAGAATATTTCAAACTGAACAGATAAAGAAAAATATTACGTCAAGCTTTATCAAAAGACTTACCTATACATGATATAACCAATGAATAACACTGTTTGTACCACTACAAATATAACAAAGTGGATTGTAGACAAGCATGATGGAAATGGTGGTAATTCCGGGCATTTTGATTTTTCATTGGATGGCTATAAGGCAAAAGAACATTCTATTATAATAAGTTAAATCAATGGTATGGAAAAAAGGCATAAATGTGAAAACTTTGTAAAACTCATGGTTTACTATACAAGCATTTTCATTTACAGCCTCCCAAATATTTTTAATCCCTTTATCTTTTACATTTTATTTTTTTAAATTAAAAATAATTTTTTTAGGAACAGTTGACATGGGAAGGCTTGCACCTTGTCCCTATCCAGTCCTATCCAGTTACTGCCATCTGGTGCCTATCTTCCTTATGGATGATAATTTTAATGAAAATGCTACAGTTTAGGGCAATCACAAATTACAATTCCCCTGCACATTTTCAGTTCTCACTTGCTGTATTGGTGTATTGCTTATACCCCAAAAGCATTCCAGGTAGAACAATAAATTAGTTATTCTTCAATGATTTACTGGATTAAATAAAATGGCCTTTTCTCAGCCTCTATCTTCTCCAATCTTACAGCATTCAACATTATTGACTAGTGTTCTCAAAAATGCTTATCTTCCTACTTCCATTAAATATTCCTTCTATTTTATGGAGCTAATTAATCAGCAGGGGCAAAGATTCCCATCAAGGTATACAGACACATGGCTCCTAAGATTAGTTGTTCTTAATATGGTTACATCTGTTTGGGTAAAGTTCTTTAACACATATATATATTTGCCATAGCACTAATCTGGCCACAAAAACAATGGCAAAGTTGGGAAAAGAAAACTTCAAACAAAACTGAGATAATAATGCTTTAGAGAAGTCATGGTCAGTACAAAAACTAAGTCATCTATATTTGCAAAAAATTGTATATTCAAATCATATTCATAGAAATACAGTTTGAAAAGGCAGTTTGCAACATACCCACAGCATAGGGAACATCACAAAGAGAAAACCACTCTCTAAAAAGACCTCTATGTAATTAAGAGATATTTACTCTAACAGATCTTTGAACTTAAATACAAACTCAAGAACAGTGAGAAAACAAGGCAATAAAATGCAACCAAAAATGCATAACTTCCCCAAAACTGAACCCATACATATTTAAGTAAACAAATTTCCAAAGAGTTAAAAAATAAAAAGATAAAACAATCAATGAGATCAAAGAAGATACCAATAAGTAGCTGAATGAGTAAGTTAGTAAAATGATCAATGGGTTTAAAGAAGATAAAAATAATCAGCTGAATAAATTAAGGAAGACAATATGTAATATGAAAGACCACTTTGGTGAAGAGATGTGGGTTCTGAAAAACAACTAAAGAGAAATTCTAAAAATAAATCCTCAATTAGTCAAATAAAAAAACCCAAGTGAGTCTCAATAGTATGTAAACTGAATCAGAAAAAAAGAGTATCAGGGTTTGGAGACAAGGTGGATATTCAGTCAGTGGTAATGAAACAGAATGAGAAGCAATGAAAGAATTATCCATGAGCTCACAGATAACTCTAAGTGCACAAATTTAAGAATCATCAGCCTCAAGGGATGTGTGGAAGAACTGGCAAATGGTACAGAAAACCTATTCATTGAGCTATAGCAAATCTGGGCAATGACACATATACCCAAATGCTGGAGATATCTGCAACCCCAAAACAGTTATGACCAGAAAAGAACATCTCCACATCACAAACTGCCAAAAATTCAGAACAAACAAAATTAACAGCTGTTTGAGAGAAGTACAAAACCACCTACAGTGGCAAAGCCATCAGAAAAAGGGCAGATTTTAAAATAAAAACCCTAAAGGTCAGGAGGGCTTGGAATGATGTATTTTGAACCTTTAAGAAAATAACTGCCAATCTATTATATCTTGCAAGGGTATCCTTCAAAATTAAAGAATAAATGAAGACCTTCTAAGATAAGGATAAACTAAAGTTCATGACTACTAAATCAGAACTGCAAAAGTACTTAAGAGAATCCTAAACACAGAAGAAGACAACCACAACCTTATGGGAAAGAACAAATTTAAATGGGAGAATATATAAACAGAGGAAATTCAGGAATGAATCAAACACTAGAACAACACCAATATGACTAGAATAAGTAGCTACCTTTCAATAATAATACAATGTAAATGGTCTTGCTTCTCCAATAAAAACAGAGACTGGACTATACTTCACTTCACCAGCACACTTCACCAGCAAAGACTTACACAATGAAAGTGAAAGAACAGAAAATGATACTCCAAGCAACTGGAGCCCATAAGTAAGTAGGAGTTTACTTATATCCGACAAAGCAATAGTAGCTTACTTATAACCAACAAAGTAGATGTCACACTAAATCAGTAAAAAGAGACAAAGATGGCCACTACATATTGGTAGGAAACAATTCACCAGTAAGAGCTAGTAATTGTAAATATATATGCATCAAACATTACTGCACCCAATTTCTTTCTTTTTTTTTTTTTTTCAGCTTTAATTGAGTTTATTGGTACATTTTAGGGATACAGTACAGTTACATTCATTGTTGGGATCTTGTACCTCTACATGACAAGTCTTGATTCTCATTTTTTCCCCTTACCTCTGCCCTCCCTTCACCCCCTCCTCCCCTCCCCATCTACAAACACTTTATTTTCATCTTTTCATTCTCTCACATTTTTTTCTTTTCCCTTTTTACTCTTCCCCTACCCATCCCATCTTCCCTACACCTTTAGCTCCTTTCTTCCCATTTCTAAATGTCAGTAATCTTATTAGAATCTTATGCATTGTTGCAGATTATTCATACCAGGGAAACTCTTCGGTATTACTGCACCCAATTTCATAAACAATATTGTACATTATGGATCAGAAATATCCTAACATAATCATAATGAATGAATTCAACTTAACATGGTCAGGGGGGATGTGAAAGACATCTATACTGAAAGTTGTAGAACAGTGAATAAAGAAACAAGACATCAGAAAATGCTCATTAATTGGCAGAACCAATATTGTCAAAATGGCCATATTACTACCAAAAGTGATCTATAGATTCATTACAATTCCTAGTAAAATACTAAGAACATTCTCACATGACTAGGAAAAATAGTCCTAAAATTCTTATAGAAGCACAAAAGACCTAGAATAGCTATAATCATGAGTAAAAGCAGCAAAGCTGAAGATATCACAAAGTCATAGTAATAAAAGAATGGGAGAAAATCTTTGCTACTACTCTTCTGATAGATGAATATCTAAAATATATAAAGAATTTAAAAAATCCAAACAATAACTACAATAAAATAAACAGCCCAAACAATAAATGGGCAAGTGAACTGAATAAAGAATTCTCAAAAGAAGAAATAAAAATAGCCAGTGAGTATATGAAGAAATGTTTAACATCCTTAGATATTAGGAAAGTGCAAATCTAAAAATAGCCAGTGAGTATATGAAGAAATGTTTAACATCCTTAGATATTAGGAAAGTGCAAATCTAAAAATAGCCAGTGAGTATATGAAGAAATGTTTAACATCCTTAGATATTAGGAAAGTGCAAATACAAATAAGTTGAGATTCCATCTCACTCCAGTCAGAATGGCTCTTATAATGGAAACAAAAAACATTGAGTGGTGATGCAGGCAAAAAGAAACCCTCTTACATTGTTGGTGGAAATGTAAGCTAGTACAACCACAATCAGAAACAGTATGGTTACTCCTCAAAAAACTAAAACAGATATACCATTTGATCCAGCTATTCTATTCCTTTATACTCTCAAAATAATTAAAGACAGCATACTAAAGTGATATATGCATTCCCATGTTTACAGTGGTTCAACTCACAATAGCTCAGCAGTGCAAACAGTCCAAACGCCCACAGATGAAAAAGAAAATGAGAAATTATGAAATCATGTCATTTGCAGGAAAACAGATGGAACTGGAGACCATTATGTTACACAAAATAAGATAATCTCAGAGTATTAAAAATCCCATGCTTTTTCTTAAGTTAGAAATCTAAAAATAAAAACAAATATAGCACAAGAAAAGAGAGACGATAGGGGACTAGGGAAGGAGGAGGGAAAGAGGAGGAGTGTAATGAAGATGAAAATGTCAAAATGCTGTACTTATGTACCAATATACCATCACAAATCTCATTACTGAGGCTCTCTCAATATGCAACAAAAATTAATAAAATAAAAAGTAAAAAGGACTGGAGATCTAACTCAGTGTAAAGCACCCAATATTGCAATTAATAAATAGCAGTGTCCAAAAACATTAAGGAAACAAAATTAGAAGTTGATGAGCTAAATTCTTCCTCCTAATGACCTTATGAAAGTCAATTTATTATTAATTTTAATTTAACATATTCCCTAAAGAATATGAAATGTTAAAAAAAGGCTTTTAAAAACATAAAACCTCAAATAAATCTTGCACAATTAGCAGAGCTAAATAAATAAATAAATTCTCATCTAATCCAATCCAATCCAAACCAACATATAAAACCTGACTGATGGCAAGCAAAACTAACAAAACAGCAAGAAAGTATCAGATCAGAACCTTGGGGAAAATATATGAAAGAAACAGAAAACATAGATCAGCCCAGTGTGTGGTGGCCCATGCCTGGAATCTCAGCACTTTGGAGGCTGAGACAGCAGGACTGCTGTGAGTTTGGGGCCAGCCTGGGCTATACAGAGAGACCCTGTCTCAAAAAACCAAAAAGGAAAAAAAAAAAGAAAGAAAGAAAACATGGATCAGAGAGGATATTTAAATGGGGATCAGAAAATATTTTCATTGAATGACACGACACCAAAAAGGGAAAAAAAAAAGAAAGAAAGAAAACATGGATCAGAGAGGATATTTAAATGGGGATCAGAAAATATTTTCATTGAATGACACGATAAATCCTCCATATCAAACTCCTATACCATGCCTCTTAGCTCCTTACGGTTTAACTGCCAAGAGAACTGCTATTCCTCCGTAAACAACTAGGACACCAAAACATATAGACATCTGGAACAATTCTATTACCTTGAACATTAAAAATGAGCACCAGCACTAACTAAAATGTTAAAATTATTTTCAGTACAGCACAAGAAATTTGATTATGGGTTCTAACTTTTTGCTATGATAATTCTAAAAGGAGAAGAAAGTGAAGTTACCATGTTTCGCTGCACTAAGTTATCTATGTCCCTCTTTACTATGTGCAGGTGCTCCTTGATGTCCATGAAGTGCTGTGTTGTTTCATACACGCTTCCTGCAGAGCCCGGGTGCTGTATCCCACCAACTAGTCTGACAGTTTCACTCATGGAATTCCTGAAACAGAAAATCCCTTTATACAGTATCATTATAAAAATGATTTTTTTCAGCCACATATTTCAAACAGTTGAACTGTTTTAAACACAACATTAGATCACTAAAAAGAGTAAGGAATTATTTAAAAATTAAATTTTCTTTAAAACTGAAAAATAATTTATAAAAGTACAATTTAACATTATACTTTTATTTTTCACTAAAGGTCACCTAAAAATAACAACATAGAGGATACTACTAAATACTGTATTAAAACCAACAATGTAAATGGATACTGAATAACATAACGGATGACACTTTCAATGGGAGTTATCAGAAATCTTCCCAGGCGTTCAATATTGTAGAGTAAAGGATTAACTTAGCAGACCTGGGCTGTCTAAATCCTTTGCATTCCAAAGGTTTTCAGGCCTAGCCCTTGACTAGTTAATGCAAACACTGAAATTTGTTAGTATTTCTGTTTGTTTGCTCGGGGCCTTTGGTAGATTGATTTTTTGGGATTGTGGACTGAGTACTTAAGGTCATTCACATGGGTGCTCTGTATCTATGTGACTGACAACTAGCAAAAATCCTGGACACCAAGGCTTGGGTGAATTTTCCAGGGTGGTAGCACTTTACACATGCTGTAACATATTGTCGGAAGAATTAAGTACAGATAATTCTTGACTTATAGCTTAGCAGCACAGTACACTGTAGAATACTGGTTGTTTGCTCTTTTTTCTCCTCACCTCTGGTATATTTACAACACCTTATACACTGTACATACTTTGCAAATATAGTTGCTATATTGTATTGTTTCAGGGAAACAAACAAATTTGTACATATTTTAGTAGAAATGCAGTATTTTTCTCAGAACTGTGGATTAAACACAGGAAGTACTGAGCTAGAATCCCAGTTATATCCTTTGTATGTTTCAGACTGGCTCTAAATAATGTGCCAAGGTCAGCCTTGAACTCTCAATCTTCCTGCCTCAGCCTTCTGAGAGGCTGTGATTACAGGTGTTTACCACCAAGTTCGGATTTCCAAATATTTTTGATCTGCAGTTGGTTGTTTACATTTATTTATTTTTGGTACTAAGGATCGAACTCATGCTTGCCAGGCAGATGCTGTGCCACTAGCTAAATCCCCAGCCCTTTTATTTTTTTAATTTCTGCTGTTCATAACCATTTTAATTTTTCTTTCTTTCTTTGTTTTTCATGGTACTGGGTGTTGCATTCAGAGTATCCACACAGAGCTATAAGCCCAGATCATTTTTATTCAAGATCTTGCTAAATCATGAAGTTGCCCAGAAGGCTGAGCTTGAACTCTCAATCTTCCCATCTCAGCTTCTCAGAGGGTCTCCATGGTTAATTTTTAATCTTGAGTCTTTCATTTTCTTCAGTCTTTTCATAAATTTGCATTGTATTCTCTGTGATTTGCCTTCACTGAAACAGCTGTCTTGGTAGTAGCATCAGAGACGCTCCCAACAACAGAGCCAGGGAAATATCTTCACCAACTAGCCCAGCAGCAGTTGCTGCTTTCTTCGTAAATCTGCTGTCCCTTTTGATGGCGGACAGGGGATAATGAGCCTGTTGGGCCCTGAATTTCTGAAATGCTATTTTTTGGTGTTCTGAGCCAGTAGCCTCTTTATAAAAAATACTAGTATCATCACCGTGGCCCTTGACATCACATGGATTTAGATAAGAGAGGAGAGACTCATATCTCAAAGATGCACTCTCACTTTGTTGAAGAATCAAATAATGCTAGAGAAACTCAGAAGAAAACTCTTGGCACAGAATTATCTCCCTGTCTCAGATGCAGTGAATTCTCAGAAAGCAGGTTTTGCAAGTATGCTGGGTTGGCATGAGGTAATGACTGGGACCTTTCTCAGGCTCAGGGAGTCACCAGGCAGCAGAAGTAATAACAGTACTGCTGGATCCATGACTTTAGTATTCCTTTGAGCCAAATTTAAAGAAGATGGCATTTCAGGCAGTAGATTCCCAATCTTTCCCACTAATGGGAAAAATCAAATTTTTGTTTTTGTTTTTTGAAATAGGGTCTATGTCTATTTATCTCAGTCTGGCCTTGAACTTATAATCTTTCTGCCTAGCATGTGCTGCCTCTTCTGGTTCAAGCTGATTTAGAAAATTTCACAAGTACCAGATATAAGAAGAGTTCTGCAAGTAAAGAAAAGAGGGAAACTTCAAGTCTATGAAGCAGCAGCAAATCTTTTACTTGCCTCTCCTAGTCACATGGAGGAGGAAGTTTCTTGATTAGGTTTTTTTGTTCATTGGTTGGTTTTTCAGTACTGAAAAATGAACTCAGAAGCATCAGAAATTGAGCTACATCCCCCAGCTTTTTCTTTTTTAGACTTAATTGCCCAGGCTGGACTTGAACTTGTGATCCTCCTGCCTCCAGAATAGCTGGATTACAGAAGTGTGCCGCCATGCCCAGTGATGATGATTTGACATTAGTACTTCATTCTTCTTTCCACAAAACAGGGCAGTGTATATCCCATCACACTGACAAACAATGATTGTATTGTTTCTGAAATTTGCTAAGCCACTGAGCCTGCCAGAACTTCATGTTCCCTTATTCACCAAAAGGTAGCAAAACAACATTGAATTCTCCTTTCCTAGAAGTTGGAACCATAGTAATTGGGAAGCTTTGAGCTCTTTTTGCAACCATACCTTCCCAGCTTCAGTGAGTTCTACTCTAGTCAGCTTAAACAGCAAAACACCACATAGCTCTTTTCTCCAAGAAGATATAATAGATAAAATAATGGGAATATGTTTAATTTCTAAAGCACTTTCAGTTATCTGATGTAATCATCCTCGTAATTTAACATTCTTTCTTATAAATTCTGCTGGACTACCTGAAGATCTTATAAATTTTTATGTCAGTCGAACACTTCTTAGAAATAACATTATTCCAGCTACGGCCATCCCAGTGCTGATGTTCTGGACGACATACAAGTGATCATCTACCACACTGGGAGCCACCTTGTCCCGCCTGGGCGGGGGGTGGGGAGCAGATGGTGACGTGAAGCCCCCAGGTTGCCCTACCATGTTGGTGGCTTCTAGCGAGTGTGCATCCCAGTTGTTTACTCTCTTGATGGCCTGGGTGCCTGGAATCTACGTTTAGATGACACTGCTCAACATGGCAAGACATCATACCAAATAATGTTAACCCAGGAAAATAGCAAAATTTAAAACTGGAAGTACTACTGAGTGTATATTGCTTTTATACCACAGTAAAGTTGAAAAATTGTTAAAATGAGCCATGATAAGGTGGGGATCATCTGTACTATCTGTGAGACCAGTAGGAGAAGACAACTGGAAGCTTGCTTCTGGTTTTTCGACTTCACTTGTGTACCATTTTCTTTGCTGATTTTACTTTCTATCTTTTTGTTGTAATAAACCATAACCATGAGTACACCAACTTCTCTGTGTTCTGTGCATACTCCTGGCAAATAATAGAATCTAAGATATCTTGAGGGCCGCAAACACAAGTGTAACTGTGTCTGTTTTTCCCTGTTATTCTCAAAGATGGCCCACATGTATAGACTAGTATTTCAACTGGAAGCCAATCAAAGAAGTATCTGTTCCAAATAATTATGAAGGGGGCCGGGGATTTAGTTCAGTGGTGCTGCTGCCTGCCTCACAACCAGAAAGGTTCTGAGTTCAATCCCCGGTACCAAAAACAAACAAACAAACAAAATACTTTTGAAGAAAAAACTGGTTGTTTGGCATATGGAGGTATGAAGGACAGTCTCCAATATACCTTTTTGAAGGGTAATTCTGATCTTATACAGCATTTTATCTTATATACTGACTTTAGAATATAATCTCCATGGAAGATATAATTCTATTCTTCAGATGTAACAGCTCTATTACTAAATGTGACCTTTAAGTATGAGTCTGTAAGCATGATTACAAATGTAAAAAAATTACAGATATTTTTGTTAATAATGGCAGAAATATAACAGGCTTATTAATAAAGGAATATGAATTTCAATGTACCTGAAAATATTGAGTTATTTTTCCTAGGAGTACTGAAAAGCTCTATTAATGGCAAATCATTCATTCATATTATGAATTATATTCAAGTCTGAGACTTTTTGTAAGGCAGATAAAATTAGACTGGACTGGCAAAATGTGCATCACTGTTGCTGAAGCTGACTGATGGGTATCCAGAGGTTCACTGACTATTCCTTCTGCTTCTTGTTTGAAAATAGCCATAAAAAGTCTTTTAAAATCCTTAAGGCTCTCCATAATCTGTTTGCGGTTTATTTTTCTGATGCACTACGCTCTTTCATCTATCATAGCTCTCTCCAGTTCCTGAAAATATCGTTCACCTTTAAGCCTCTGACTTTGTAATGCTCTTTCTAGACATACTCTCTTCCTCATATCTGTGGTCTGGAGTAAAGCTCAGCTGAAATGCTACCTTTTCTTTACAGTTTTCTTTCTTGTATACTTTTCTGCCAAAGGCAATCTCTACCCCATTACCTTACTATTTTGTATCTGCACACAGGGATTAGCATAAGGTCCTGGTTCATGTCTCTGATTTCCTACCAAGTGCTTACTTTCAATAATCATATTTCACTTTGAATGAATACATAGAAAGCTTTCTCATTTATTTTCTTGAAGTAAAATTTAGTTTTAAAAGGGTTTCACTGGAAGGAAAAGGGAGGCTCAAATCTTACAGCTAATTAGAAATAATACATCACACTGAATACTGAGTTTTAAAATATTATATTTGACTTACATGAACAAAGAAGTCTTTAAAACTAACTACAAATATCTTAAATGCTTTTTGAATCAACTCATGTATTAAAATTTCTTTCAATGGCACAAGTGCTCGAGAAAATGCATGGGAATCCAGGCTTTTTTACTAAAACACCAATTAAGGATTACATTTTAATATACAGTACCTAAAACAGCAAGACTAAAATCTCTCAGACAGAAAAACTTTCTTATATATCTGCATTTAAGAATACTGTCTCCCAGAAGCATGAATTTGTTTAGATAGAAATGTCTTTTGTAATACACAGAGATTGAATCTCTTACTGGGCCCTATGGGGTGGAGCTGTGGTAGAAAGGGACATAGTTTAGAGAATAGGTAAAATGAAAAGAGGAGGCAGAACTGAACCTTAAAGAAAATCACTTTTTAAAGGGTAACCAAAGAGAGAGCAATAAGTAAAGAACATTAACAGAAACAGAGGCCAGAGAATAAGAGTGAGTGGTATACTACAAGTCTTGAAAGAAATGAGGTAGGATTATAATCAATTGAGACAGTAGTATTCTATAGTATTAGCTTATCACATTTTGGCTTGTTTTCTGTTCTCCAGGCACTGGAGAAATGTTAATTATCTATAGAAGTGAATCATTCCTATTAGAAACTTAAGTCTCAGGATATAGGATAGGAATGAAAAAGAGGTCATCAAAATGGTTTCAAGTCATCAAAAAGAATCTCCTTCATCATGTCTGCTTATATTACTATCCAACAAGACTTATTTCTCTATTGTTTCTCAGAAGTGTTTTATATTATTTCAGATTCTTCCCATATTTTCTAAATATAAGTATATACCTGGCACAGTCAAGTAACTATTAGCAAACCTACATTTTTTTACAAGATGCTAAAGCATTTTTCTTTTCCAGCTTAAAACAATTAAAAATGTTGGTATTTGCAGTTTCTAAATATAAGCTCCTGTACTTACATTGCCCTATTTATAAAATGAACCTAGAAAATGATTCTTACCATGAAGGAATCTTACTATAATAGAGTGCATGCACACCTTTCTTTAGGATAAAGATATCACATAACACCAATAAATCACTTTTACATACTTACTTCATTTCATTTACTTGTCTCAAAATCTCATGCTGAGTTTTCACAACTGTGTCTAGTTCCTGCTGAGTGATCTGGAGGAAAGAAAGATAACAAGCCAGGTTAATAATCTGTACTCTATGAGAGCACAGTAGCATTTTTCTCCCCTCCATCACAAGCTAAATAGGGAATATCTACATATTTTGAAAGCTCACCTGCCCATGCTGCCCTGGGATCCCTGTTCCTCTTTTAGAGATCTCTTCAGTCAAGGAAGAGACATATCTTCTCTGTTCATCAAGAATCATATCTAACTGTCTGTTCAGCTGCTTGATTTCAAGATGAATACGATTCTGTCCTTCAAAAATTTGTCTTAGCTCACGATCTCCTAAACTCTCAAATATTTCATCAGCTGAAAAGTAATTACAAATTAAAATTATTAGAATCATCCACACCTATGTGGTTTTTGAAATACCATAACTTACCAAAGTACCAACATATACCAAAATTAAAACTTTATTAACATGGTGGTACAAGTTCCCAAATAGTAAATGAGCAGGTAATTAATTCAATCATGATTAAATCACTACTGGTTTTACCATCTTTAATGGATACTTATAACTCTGAATCATACTGTTGATCATTGCAAAAACTCCATGCCAGTGTTCAAATGCTAATGACAGGACATATTAAGTACAGCCTTATCATTTATGCTGATGGAGAACAACCCAAATAATAAAAACCAGCAGATACTATGACGTCATATTACTCACAACAGTTTTGATAGTTTTCAAATATTATCTCTGTTAGTAAGATAAATGTGTCACTAAAAGGAGACATAAACTTGTGTGATTTCAGGGCCAGGGATTTGGCTCAGTGGTTCCGCCTCCTGCCTCACAAGTGCAAGATTCTGTGTTTGATCCCTGGTACTAAAAAAAAAAAAAAAAACAGTGCCAGGGAAGACCTGAACTTCCTTTGGACGGGGGATTTAGCTCTTTGGGCCAGGGATTTAGCTCAGCGGTTCTGCCACCTGCCTCACAAGCACAAGGTTCTGAGTTCCACCCCCAGTACAAAAACAAAAAACACTAAGTGCCAGTGGACCTGAACTTCCTTTGGACTGGGGATTTAGCTCTTTGGGCCAGGGATTTAGCTCAGCGGTTCTGCCACCTGCCTCACAAGCACAAGGTTCTGAGTTCCACCCCCAGTACAAAAACAAAAAACACTTGTGTGATTTCACTCAGCAAATACTAACCCTTAACTACTAAGGCAACACTGTTTCAGCTTTTTTCAAGTTTAGAGAACACAGAAAACAGCTGGGAGTTAGCTTAGCACCATACCTGTTTCACAAGCACAAGGTTCTGAGTTTGATCTCCAGTACCACCTCCCCATCCCCCACACTCAAAGAGAACATAGAAAACAAAATCCATGACCTTCACTATTTATCCATATAACCTCAATACTCTTTACTCACACATCACTAAGTAAGCCACACTCTCCACTTAGGGCTTCAGATCTTTAAGAGAGTAAAGATTTATTAGTTGTTTCCAGAAACTACTTGAAATGTGCCAGTTCAGAGAAAAAAAGAGATGAGACAGAACACAAAGACACCAGCATCCAAGCCAACTTCACTACCACTCACCAGGCTGCCCTTGGAGGTCAGGATGGTCCTTCTGGAATTCCTCCTTTTTTTTGTCCAATTCTTGTTGATAGTGCTCAAATTCCTCCTGATACTTTTCTTTTTCTTTTTCTGAAATTTCTTTATCTGGTGTAGGCTTTTTTGAAGTTTAAGAATAATACGTCATAAAAAAGAGAATCAGTGATATAGCTCAATATATCTATTTTTTCTCATGTTCTTTAGTACTAGCTGAAAGGTTAATATAAAGTTATTTCTTACTGATCTGGGTGACAGGAAAATACATCATAGCCAATTTACTCTTGCTACTAAGGATAACAACAGAAAATAATAACTATCGTCATTTATGAAGTATTTGCTCTAAGTACATTGTCTCATTTAGTTCTCTCAGCATCATGAGGTGTCTAGGACAAACTGATCTCATAAGTGAAGAAAGGGCACACTTAAGGTTCAGTAATTTATACAAGATCATACAATAGTAACAAGTAAAAATAAGATCCAATCCTAGATAAGTCTTCCTAAGTTTTCACTCAGAAGGCAACACCAATGAAAATAAACTTTTTTGCGGGGGGGAAAGTGCATACTTACTGGCTCTTTTCCAGGCTCAGTCAGTTGGAAAGTTAGAAAAGAAAGAACATCATGGTCATCTACAAATTAAAAAAGAAGTCTGAAAAGGTTCTATAACAGATTATTTTTATAGCTATAAGTTCATGGATATTTACTGTTTTAAAGCTATAATAAAAATTCATTTATTAAATGAGCAGTGGTACTTAGAGAGCAGTGAACTTAGAGATAAAAACTGATCTGAAAGATTTACATTTCAATTTATATTTACTTTCTTAAATCCTAACATGACATTTACCAGTGTTCAACATGTAACAGATGTAGGGCCGCAGATTTAGCTCAGCGGTTCAGTGGCCTGCCTTGCAAGCACAAGGACCCGAGTTCAATCCCCAGTACCAAAAACAAAACAAAACAAAACAAAAAAACCATGTAAGAGATGTTTAATCAATGTTTGATAAAGAAGAAAAAACAAAAGGAAAGGTCAAAATGAGTCCAAATGCCCAATCCTGGCATCAAGATCCTCCCATATGTCCCCCAAGTCTCACTCATGGATAATGTCCCATCAAATAAGACAAAATCCTGTTCATATATTTCCTGTACCTAATCTTACTCTGAAACTTTCTCATGGTACATCACTACTTTTTGCCTTTCCTACATGTTTTTCTCATCAAGAAGACATGAATAATTTTATTTTACCTAACAAACACAAAAATATCAAATTAATTCAACCTCTTTAAGCAGATCAATCCTCGTAACACTGAACTAAAATACCAGTCCTGGCTATTTTAGGGCAATGAGTAAATTAATTTGAAGTGTGCAGCAATCTTTCACTTTCTGTCACTCTTACAGAGATCGAGAGATATAAACAGACCTACCAGAAAACTGTAATACTATAGGGCAGACTGGGTAACTTCAGAAATCAAGTGGTATAAAACAGCACAAATCAGAAATTTAGACCAAAACCTTCCTGGAGATGACCATTACTGGTCATGTAACACTGAAAAACTCTTTTCATCTAAGATTTGGCAAACTCATCTAAAAATAGGGAAATATGATCTCTCTTCCCTCATTTCCTGCGATGTAGAGAACATATATTTGAAAGTATTTAAAATTATAATGTACCATATAAACACAAAATCGTATTAATGTGGAATAATTTCATTTATCACTACATGTGGAAAAAACAGTAACTGTATTTATTTAAAATTCGATCCTCAAATAACATTTCCTCAGGTTGCAAAATTCATTTACATGTGATGTGACAACTCTTAAGGTCCTAAAACACTTGACAATGAACCTTTTAGTCTGAACTTTAAATATGTTTCTCCTACAAAACAGCATCCAAACTGAGGCTGTAGTTTACATATGTGTTTGTAGCCCCAGCCAACTGTATACATACAGAACAGTGTAAGCAGAGAATTAGCAGTCCCAACAGAAAGAGACTGGCACAGCAGACTATGGAACCTTTGTTCCAAATAAGTCTTTAACGGTTAAATACGAACAAGTCTACTTATTCCCAGAATATACTACTACCAATAAAACTTGATTCACAAATTTCAGTATGAAAGCATAGCATAATTTACCTGCAAGACCTCCCGTTGCAGCGGATATTCCAAAGTGGCCTTGTGTGGGGATAATCATATTTTCTACTTTGGCACAAAATTCATAATCATTTTTATCTGGTGTAAAGCCGTTATTGATCATTACCTAAAGAGACATACTACAGTTATAGCTTTTTACAATGGACATTGTAAAATGAATTTCAATTACTCAGTTTTATTACTAATAACATTCAATCTTGCTTCTTTCACCATAGACCAGGTGATTTTAAACAAATCTCATTTACTTGGTATTGTTACCCAATAAAATATTCCACTTGAAATTTTTTTGCCTACTATGTGTCAAAGACTGAGAAAGAGAAAAATTCTATAATATTCCATGAAATCTTTCCAAAATGAAATATGACTCATCCTTTCTTGAAGAAATTTAAGGAACAATGATTACCCTCTCTGAACAGTTCATATGGAAGAGACATTAGACCTGTTCTGAAACCCTAGTGAAAGAGATAAAACTATTAGGTTAAATTTACAATGTCAGCTACAGCTGCTTGAGAATTAAATAGATTGCCTTTAACAAATCCCCTTCATTAAATTCATGGAGTTACTGGATTGTTGTAGGTCAGCAGAGACAGCAACAGTGATGGAAATTATACCAACATAAAAGACAGAATATGAAAATACTAAAAAGACACTAAAGTTTAACTAAAGTTAACTGAAATGTTATAGAACTCTGTCCAAATCTTCAGTAAAAAATAAAATACCCATCAATATGAAGGTTAATTTTTATATAATACAGGATGGAAACTAATTTCTAAAGATTACCTGTCATTTAGTTAACTAATATTAATATTTATTTCCTCTGCTTAGAAATGTTCCCATTTCAGTTTACATCATTACAACTGATCCTCTACAGAGTCAAATCAGAAAAAAAACAAAAAACAAAAAACAGTAGAATACTTGTCTTTAAGGGTTAAAAGATGCTTAGTAAATCACATTCTAATTTCAACACTAACAACTTTCAACTGTTCAATAATTTTTTCTTTCACTCTTAACTAAGTGAAAATTTATCAAGAATTTTTACTAACTTTAATTTTTTAAAAAAGGGTATAACATTATATTGGGAGAAATGTTAGTCTGTAATTGCAAAACTGATGTCCACTGATTTATTCCAGGAACACTTCTTTATGAGATCACTGATGACTTTCCTTATTCACCTGTAGTTTTCCCCCACTGTTAAGTATGTGTGTCCTTCCTCCACCTGCTCTACAGTCATTCATAAATAATAGGCAACAATGAATTTCAAGGACAAATAAATCTGAAGAATGTGAGCCTACTAAAGGTTTATTTATCCTTTCTTTAAATAGGATCCTTCATAAAGGAATCTTTAATATGCTAATACATACAATACCCATCTCATCTGATTATGGACGCCTTTTCTTTAGAGTGCATTTTGCAGGCTATTATTTGGAGAAATGCTGGTGGGTGTCTCACTGTGCTGTGTAGGTAGCTGCCCTGTGACCTGTGAATTGTGTATCTCTGCTCACTATGGCTGGTTTCTGAGCTTTCCCTGACTTACTACCTTAATGAAACTATACAGAATAAATAATAATTACAGGGAAACTCACACCCAAGTCAATCAGAATGGACACCTCATCTATTATGAGATTTCTAAAATTAACTTGGAATTCAACATTGAGCCCATGTGAAGTTTCCCAAAGAACTACCTTTCCCAGAGTTCCATAGATAGTAGTGTAAGGCTAACTCCTAACTTAGGAGAAAAAATTCACAAAGACATTTCCTACTTTTAAGCATTGTTCCAAATATTGACATCTTAAAAGCAAAGTTTATAATGCATTAGCGATCTTAGTTATTTCACCAGCCACCTGTATGTTACCCTAAATTCAATTTATCTACAACTGAGCTCATGAGCAGTACTTATTTCTCATGTCCTCCAAACAAATAAATACAAATCAGTGTTACTATTCTGCTATGTACCTACTAGCTGTCCCACTGGGCAGAAATTCAGGAATTTTCTCTGATCTCATGACTATATTCATTCCCAACTACCACCAACTAAGAGCTAAATCCTCAAGTCTCCACCTGTTCATTGTTCCTCTATCATCCTTGTCATCACTTCTGCCTTCAAATCACAAGTGGGGTCTTGTGGCTATAAAGGAACTGGGACCAATCAGTCTAGTTGGTTGTTTAATATGACACTGTTCAAGTTACTTACAATCTCCTACATTCAGTTCCCCCACACTCAAAATGGAGAGGCTGACTTAATAGGGCTATCTGAAAACTGCACATAAAGTACAAAGCACAAAGTGTGGTACTTTAAGAGGCAAGGAGTCTAAGTAATTTTACCCTTTGCTCCTTTCATGAATACCTTTACAAAAACAATGGACCTAAGTCATCTTTCAAAATTACAAATCAGACAATTTCAGTTCCTATTTAAAACTCTAAATTTTCTGTTAAGTTCCTTATGGGATAAACTATAGGATACTCTGTGCAAAGCCTGTTACTGCCAACTTTTTCACCTATTTCCCCCAGATCCTCTGTATCTTCAAGCCCTAACATAGTACTTGCCTTTCTCAAATATCTCAACTTCTTTCAAGGCCTTCTGCCTGCTTTCTGTGCCTAGAAAACACATACACACTCCCTACTACCAAACTTCATGATCCTTGCTTTAAGGTACAGCTCAACTCTAAGAAGCTGTTCCTGACCTTTGCTCTCTGTGACCTGCAAAATTACAGGATTCCAACCCCACAATTTCTTTAATGGTACTTGTTTTGTAGTTTTTGTTATACAGCACAGTTCCACGTGTCTCCCCCTCTAGACTAGAAGCTTTCCAGGGAAAAAGACCTTTGCATTAGTTATGTATGTATTCAGAAGATGTGGATGTGTGTATAACATGTTCCATAAAGTGGGATGCTTAAACATTTGCTCACCTACCAAGGTTTTGGAATAGATGCCATAGAAGCCAGGCTTTCAAGCTATGTCTATCCTCATAGAGTAACTATGATAACTATGTGAATGACACCCACATACCAAGAATGCAAAAAGAAAAATCATGCTAGAATACTGTTTGTTTGATTACTGTTACTTACTGTCAGTGTTTTCTGATAATATGTAATCTTTGCCCGGACAGGATAGGGTTTATTACGAAAATCTCTCTGGCAACTTGCTAAAGCTTGACTGGCACCATCACTACAGTATGAGAGAATAAAAAGCAAACAAAAAACTTAAAAAGTGCAGTTCGGTGGCCTGACTTGTAAGCGCAAGGACCCGAGTTCAATCCCCAGTACAAAAAAAAAACAAAAAATCAAAAAAACTTAAAAAGCTTTTCAATATTTAAAAAATTCAACAAGATTAAAACAATATCAAGTTATGACAAAAACTTGAGGTACTTCAAGTTATTCATTCAGAGAACACAAAGGTGGTACACAAGGTTTTCCTGTCAGAACTCTAAATAACATTAGAAGTCCAATACTACCATGTGCTGAAGGGAAAGCTATACTATTGTACATGACCAGGGCAGTGGTACTCTAGCCCAGGGCAGAATCTGAATCTCTCCTGGAGCTTGAAAGAAATGCACACCTGAACCAGGCATGATGGCACACACTTATAATCCCAATGTTCTGAGAGGCTCAGGCAGGAGGATCACAAGTTCAAGTCCATCCTGGGCAAATAAGCAGCTTAAATGAGTCCCTGTCTCAAAATAAAAAAATAAAAGAAGAGCTGGAAATGTAGCTCAGTGTGAAGGTCCTAGGTTTAATCTGGTATTGCGGGGGGAGCCCATATATTCTACCCCCAAATCAACTAAGGTAGAATCAAAAGGAGAGGGCCCACATACCTCCAATTCAAACAGCTCCACAGGAAGTTGTGATCAACTACCAGGGTTGAAAATCATCAAGGTAGAAAATAATAAAATGAAGTATGCATAATAATTTTTCATTTTCACGTATGAATAATAATTTTCACTGACTGGCTAAAAGTTAATTCCCCCAGAATAAATAAGTGAAAGTAAAAAATGTACATACTTAATTCATGTTTATTACAAATATAATGAACACTTATAAGTTTTCTAAGCCACCGAGAGCCCTCAAGTTTAAGGTGGCATATGTTGTGTGCTCATTAGTTTGCTAACTTCAGTTTTGAAAGATTTCTCTTAATAAAGATGAAAAAACATGACTAGCATCACTAAAAACCAGGGACAGGTTATAAATCTTCAAAATATATTAAGGTTAAATAAACACATTTCATGTTTGAAATCTGAGGTGACTCACAGAAAGAACTTTAAGATATAACCAAATAAAATAAGACTTTTTCACCACTTACAAAATAACATTTCAAGAAAAAGAATAATCTCATTTAATTTTTGTTTATTTCATCAAGTTTCCAAAGAGAAGCACACATGAGAAATAATAAAAAAGCCATACACTTACTTTTGATGATCATAAAGGATTTGTCCATTGTTGCCTACAATTACTATAGCAGGATTATTTTTCTAAAAAATAAAGAGAATATATTTGTTTTAGTCTGCAGTCAAAAATTCTAGATTATTCTTGATGTGTGGGGAGGTCTTTTGTACTCTAAATATTTAGGACTCACAATTTTAAAATAACATGGCCTTGGCATTCAAGGAATTATTACACTTGATCTTAGCCAAAAGGGAGAGGTGATCAAGCAATTATTAAAAAGTCACTAAATTGCTAACAGTGACCACTGAAAACCAGTATAGAAACAACCAGCCACAGAGAAGAACATCTTACAGCTGCTAAACTATGCTGCTAAACTACAAGTTAATGTTTCTAATATGAAAGAACATTTTTTGTTAATTACATTGGAACAGATCATCAGAAAATTTGGCCTGATCAAGAAGAGTGGTTACCATATGAAGAGTAAATACACGAACATGCACTTGAATGTTATCATGAAAGCAAGCTGTTAGTTTTTTAAATACTATTGGTTTTACTGCCCATATATATAGACTCATGTATCATAATTACCATACACAGAGACCTTGGGGAGTGAGTCATTGCAAAGTCCTCAGAATTAGGATTTTATTACAGTTTCAAAGTGAAAAATCTATGCTATGTCTGCATAGCTCTTAGCTGCTAAATGTCCTGCTGCAGAGACTAATCATAAAGTATCACATGAGGAGTTCTCCATTACTAAACTCATAAAAGCATCTAATATGAAGCTCTATTTCTTACAGCCTAAATTTGCTAGCAAAGTTAGTAACAGTTTTGACAATAAATATACCTTTCCATCATTGTCAAAAGAATCAAAAAATATTCCAACACCATTCCACATATCAGCTGATCCAAACACAGGTCCCTCCAAGCCTTGATTTTCTGTATACCAAACTGCCTGAAAATATATGACAGAGAACAGTTAGAGACTAGTGGTATGTGCATGTATATTCATTTTCTAAGTAGAAAAAATGATCATACCAAGCCATCAGCTCCAATTCGACCTCTTCCAGTCACTCGAAATGTCACCTCTACTTCCCAGTTTTCAAATGCTGCTTTTGCCTTTGTCCACACTGATCCTCTTTGACTTTTCAAAGATGGTGCTATTCGAATTTGATCTGAACTTGGAATAGCATCTACAACAGAAATCGGTAAAGAAAAGCTTGAAGTTATAATTAGGAAAAATTCCACACATTATCACCAAACTGCTACATATACCTATAAAATTTTAACTTAATAATCTATACAATATGTTAGAAAATAATTTCATGTTGACACTGTTAAACTTTGACATTTTTGGGATAATGCATCCTCTAAACAGTGGAGTATTTCTGCAAAAATTTTTTTAAATTCAAAAATAAATTTATAACCATACAGTAAAAATTCCAGAGGCAAGGAGGAAATTATGACTTAAATGGCAAACTATTTGATTCTCACAATATTGCTTACAAAGACCTAAAAAATTTGCATACTATTTAAAAACAAAAACTTTGCAGTGTATTTTATCATTTTACATGTCAGGTTTTCAAACATTTGTGAAAAGAACATACCACTAGGAATCAAGAGACTTGTTCCTAGTCTCAGATCAGCTGTGACTTTGAACAAATAATTCTCTTACTCTGTTGAGTTCATCATATGTTCACCTGTAAAATGAAGGGGTTGGGCTCGATCACTTCTACAAACACCCCAAAAGTTATATGCAAAGTACTGCGTATACATACATTTTTCTAGGGAGAGGGCCAAATGAATTTGAACAAGCAGTTTTTTAGCATTGGCAAACTGACAGCAAAAACACTTTATCTCCAAAATCTTGGTTTTAATCTCCAGGCTGCTTTTAACTCCCAGTTCTGCCACTTATTAGCTATTTGGTTTTAGGCAAGTTATCCCATTTCTCTAATAACTTCATAAGTATATAAGTGCTTATATGTGGGTACACCTTGGAGATACTGCTAGTTCACTTTCCAACCAGTGCAATAAAGCAAGTCACACTAATCTTTTGGTTTCCCAATGTATGTGAAAGTTACATTTACACTATACTGTAATCTACTAAATGTAAAAGAGCATCCTTTCTTTTCTAAAGAAACTGATGTGCATATCTTAATTTAAAAAATACTTTGTTGGGCTGGGCATTTAGCTCAGTGGCACCGTGCCTGCCTCACAAGCACAAGGTTCTGAGTTCAAGCCCTAGTACCAAAGAAAAGAGAGAAAATACTTTATTGCTAGCTGACAACTATCAAACTTACTGAAAATCAGTGCCAATGCATACATATATGGGACATAAGGTCACAAACCTTCACTTTGTTAAAAAAATAAAGGCATAATTTTAAAAAGGTATATTTATAAGTGTTTCAATGATTATTACATTAGACAATTATTAAAGCACCTATTAGGGCGGAAATTTGAATATTTCTAACATACACTCTCAGTTATTAACCATTCTGACATTTATGCTGAAAAATAAAAACAAGCAACTATAAAATCATTCTTCAGGTAAGAAAAACTGACAAAAAGAAAAGTTGAGATACTTCAATTTCACCATTATCACTTTCAGAAAACACTGCAGGGAAGGAATGGAAAGAACACTGGACAGAGAACCAAAAGACCTGGCACCTGGGTTCGAGTTCAACTGTTTTGATAGGAACTATGTAACTCTTCTTCCCAACAACCTTAACCTTTCTGAACATCAGTTTTTCCATCTATAAAACAGGTAACACTCACCTTGCCTACTAAAGATCAAATTGGAGAATAAACCTGAAAGAGCTTTGAGAGCTGTGAAGTTACAAATTATCATTTTTGTACCTTTATGGACCTAAGCAGGTGTGCTGTCAGTACAACAGGACATTAGATTAGGTTAATGAACAACATGGATTTTATCAAACTTTATCTAATGTTTCTAATTTATCTAAATTTGGCACTGAAAGCAAAGGGCTGTGTTTAAACTAGATCCTAAATATCTCTATTTTTGTTTGTTTTAAATGATACATTGTGGTGAATGAAAAGAGAAAGAAAAAAAAAAAGAACAGCAGCAATTAAGAGAACAATGAGACTGTAATGTAAGCAAGGGACATCCATAACAATGATTTTCAGAATCAGCAGACTGATAGTCAAGGCTAAAACACTAATTTCATTTGAAATTCAGTCTAGCCCTACAGCTCCCACTAAGGCACTTTTTCTTTTCTTTCAGCAAGACTTGGTTGTGGCTCTATGAACAGTCAAGATAAATTGATAGTTCATGAATATTCCTAATTTCCAGGTGTATGAATGTGAGAAAGAGAAGCAGACAATGGAGAGGTGCAAAAGTGAAAAAGTGTGAACAAATTCATCACTACTGAAAAATTTATCATCATTCCAAAGAGAAAAACAAACAGTAAGACCCCCAAATTTGTGCTTGATATCATTCATTTGTATCATCTTTGTGTATTAAGAACATTATCTTGACAGGAAATGCCTAGCAGGCTCATAACAAACGACTACTAACAACATAATTAACAGTCTGCTTCAAATATTTAATGATTTAAGTCATTAAATCAATTTAAATTTGTTCCTTATAATTACACATCAATTTGAGGGAAATGGCCCTTCATGAAAGTGTGTTCCTTCCTATCTAGGAATTACTTTCTAGAAATAAAACATTTTGTTGATCATTGGATGATCTAAAATGATTGCATATAAGCTTAATCATACACAAAGATGGAATTCAAATTGCAAGAACTTCTCACGTCTTTGAAAAGCCACTTGCTTTAAAGGGTTTACGTGATGGTCACTGAACGGAGTTTATAACATGCAAGCGCTGTGGCTGATTCCTTAGTCAGCAGTGACACATCAGCACTAAAAGGGCAGATACCTTTGCTTTCACAAACACAAATGCTCTAGCAAGATTATCTTTAAGAGTGCCAAACACAGAATGAATAAAACTTGAAGCAGAAATTATTTCAATTCGTTGGAAAACTGTTTCTTAAAAAAGGAAGATACTGTGTAATGCTGTTCTTAGCCTCAAATTCAGAAACAATACCAAAAACCATATCCCTCTACTAAATAAAAGCATGAGTGTGACTATAAAGTTACATAATGTGAAGATCAAAGACCAAGCCAAGTCTCTGAGAGAGGCTTTTTAAAAGGTGTGGTTCCGAGAGCCTAATTAGGAATGTCTTCTGATATACAAAGACTTAGTAATTACTCTAAGACCAATCATCTGTACCATCTCCGAGGCCTTCTGATAGCATCGGGTACAAACCTGAGCATTAATAATCACTAACACTGGAGAAAAGAAAGCGGGAGAAAGGAGGCTGATGGAATAGGTCGCAGGTTGGGATGGCTGGTAAACGTGTCCTCTAGAGACGTGGCGTCAGGGTGAAATGTGACACCTAGAAGCGAGCTGGGGTGCTGGGAAGTATAGGAAGTAACAAAATACCTCTAGAGCAAATGCAAAGTACAGACAAGATCAAGGAAGGAACGACAGGAGGGTGATGAGGCACAGATGGGGCAGAAACTCTCAGGAGCAGGAAGGGGAACTCGGGGGCCATAGGGACCGAGAGGAGGAGCTGCCCAGGGTCCCCTCCACAGTACGTATGGTGTGCAGCGGCTGGAATCCGGCCTCAGCACACCAGACAGAAGGCGAAAGACGGTAGAGGCGGGGGGGGGG